ATTTTCATACAAATTGCATTCTATTCCAACTATGGCTTTCTTGATCTTCCCTCCATCTGACTCGCGTCATATACTACTTATATCATTATAAGTAGTACACACCACACTTTCAGACAACTCATGATCAAACTTATAACTATTGATTATTGAAACACGCAAATTATCTTCATTATATTGAAACAAAATTCAACAATCAACATTTCAAGTTGTCATAGATTATAATCATGATTCAAAGGAATATGTCATATATACCTGAATAATAAGTTGGTTGAACTATACCAATCATTCTTTTGTATTAGTAAATACATGACTTCTATAAATGTTTATATATATATATATATATATATATATATATATATATATATATATATATATATATCACATATGTTGCTTTCGTACTGATCAATTAAGTATTATCACTAAAAAGTATTTGTTTTACAACATAAAAATTTACTTATGTACAACATTACACTAACAAACACAAACTATTAAATGTCTTATTTCAATTCATTAAACATAAAAATGATTTTACTATTTCAACATTTATCCAATATTAAAGGATTGATTTGTTTTGGCATCATTACAGTCTAAAAATTATATAATTGATCTACTTATAATGGTAAACAACAGTGTTAGTTTGGCTAAAGTAACCTCCTATTATTTAACAGCACAAACTAAACTTCATTTACAGATAATCATGAAGTTTAGCTGTATACATTACAATTTAGGTTTGTTTATTTTAATCAATAATATAACATTCATTTCATTGATTACACGGTCAACATGTTCATTATTACTGTACAGCTGTTTCTTTTTCTCTTCTCCCTAAGTATAAAAGTTCAATTATTGTTTATAACAATAATTAAACAAACAAACTAATGAATTTCTAAATACTTTTATCTATACCAAAAAAAATATATTTATCTAAACAGTTGGATTCACAAATGAATCTAATCTAGACCACTATCGAAAACCTGAAAGCACTGGATGGCTTTTTCGTCTCAGTATGGGACTATTCAACAGTTCATATTCACAATTCCGCATGTAGGCCATGAAAACGAGATTTTCAATCTGATGCAAAAATGCTCAACCTTTGTTAAAATACTAAAATCTCCACAAATTTCCATAAAGATATGTGTTTAATAGTCAAAAAAATTACTAATATGAAAAGTAGCTTAGTATAAGAAAATGTTAAGACAACAAAATAATGTTTCATTATATTCATGTACTTTTTTCGTAACAGGGAATAATATACTTACTCTCTCCTCTCTGTTTCATTTAATAAAGATTAACTTTTATTCACGGGATATAAGATAAACCTGTCTTATGGGTTAAACAATGATCCTCTTATGCAATTGTTTATATTTGGAGAACATTATTACTTTAAATTGTTTGCCATTGAAATGTAATGCTGAAAGGTTTATTCAATATGAGAAATTTTGGAACAGTAAAATGCCTTCAATACAAGTTATATAATATTGTAACAAATATCTCTTTCATATACATTCAAACTGTAATTATTTCAAAAAAAATGTTAGAAATGAACTAAATATAGTCAGTATCTTCCATGAATATCCAATCCATAATGCTTTTTTAACCAGTTCAGACGCTATCTTAATTTTTATCCATCCATCGTATAAAAAAGTACTCGAATTCCCATATATACCTTACTTATATCTAAATATGAATAAAATAGTGAAATATGCCAAAAACTTCGGAATTTAATTTTATTATAATTTGTAAGCCTTAGATAGTTATGAATCAGTACATACAATTGACATTAAAAATTAATCAGCTCAATAAATTTAGGCAGTCAGTTTTAATACACTTATTTTAAAAAACAGTTATCACAAGCATTTCAACTAAATAAATGTAAAGACGGTCCATGGATGAAGTCGAGGAAGCTCTAAGAAGCTCAGAATGAGCCGAAGATATTCCATCCAATCATTTGTTGGAAGAATATTCCAAAATCTCTACGTGTAGCTTCCCTATTGGACAAATGCTAATAACCCCCTGTGAGCGAATTGGATAACAATAATGACGATTTCGTTTTTACTAAAAACTATATATACTTAACAATTTTGTACAATAAATGACACTGTTTGTAATAACTTTCCTTTCACCTGTCTTCTGTCTTCTCATTTGTAACTTGAGAAAGTTCTACCGTTCAAGTGCTCAAGTTATACGCGGTATATTAAGAATCTAAGCTTCTGGAGATAACAATAAGAAAAAGTAAAGTACAACCATAATAATGTAACTCATGTAGCCGGGTGAAAGTGTAAATTACACTTGTTAGGTATGCAGAGAAAAATATACCAATAATTATCATATTAAGTCTAATGTTGTCCTTGGACGTTAAATGAACATTCCTTATTGGTCGGTATTTGCTCACTTGTTAAATATTGTGTAAATGTTGTTTTCTATTTTTATGGTACGGTGTGGTCTGCTTGGTTAGTATATAAACAGAGTATGTTTGAAATATAATGATTCATATCTTCGAGGCTGTGACTTGTCTTCAGGACTCAACTGACTGGGCTAGACAGGGAAAAGGGACAAATCGGAACTCTAGGCCGTCCGTACGTGTTTACGTGTCATTGAATCGATCGATAAATACGTTGTTCTCTAATTTTTCAGTCAAGGTCACAACAATTAGCACAGGGTAAAAATCGACACAAGTTTAAAGTCATAACAACACTTTTTCTAACTCATTGTAATTCGTGTTCAACATTACTTCCGTTTTTAATCTAAATTGGTGCTTTTTCAGTGCAATATTGTTTTTTTTTTAATTTCCGGTGTGCTATTTTATTCAATATAACATTGATTTACTTCAGAGAGATGTTTATCCAGGATACATTATCCATGTATTAAATTAACGTAAGTTATGTTCAGTATGACATAAAGTGTGCGATTTTTCTACAATTTCATATATGTGACCTTTTGTTTACTAATTAATAATTAAAATAGATGTATAAATCATTTTCGACTAGAGACATCTTCACTTCTACCAGTCTTGATGTTTTTACTTCGCATCATCGTAATAAAAATGGTTCATCGTTCTTTCAAATATAAATAATAATCGACGCGGATATGATAGAAACAGTAATATGGTTGAACCATAAAATTACAATCACAATAAATATAACCTGTAAACCCTTAAGTAATGCAAGAAATGCTTAAAATATTCTAAACAAATCAGTCCTTTCTATTTATATTCAGTCAAATGTTACAGTTCTTTCTAAATTCATATAATCGCATTTATAAACCACTACCCCTAAACTGACATGTTTACTAGATTTGATTTTATAAACTCAAGCTACTCATATATATACAAATATTCGTCAAGATTAGAACGAATAGTTTGACAGAAATTGGGCACCGAGTATAGAGCAGTCAGCGATTGAAATTTAAATAATTCCAACATTTCGTCCATCTAACATGTTTGAACTTGTTTAGGGTAATACTCAAGTTAACTGGACGAAACGTTGGAATTATTCAAATTTCAATCGCTGAGATTATTTGAAATATAATTTTCACATATAAAGACTACTCAAATATACATTTTAACCTGTGTATGTTAATGAATTCGAAAATATAGCTTTTAACAAATATTCAACCCTTTTATTTATTTCATTATAGAAACATTACGTCGGAAAATAGAAGCAGAAATGGGAAGGACCAATAAGAACTGGAAGGAGCTGGAAAGAATTGCCCAGGACAGGGTTGGATGGAGAATGCTGGTGAGCAGCCTATGCTCCTTCACGAGGATTAACATGTGTAAGTAAGTAAGTAAGTTAAAAGTTGAACGTTATTTATCATCTACTGAAAGTAGAAAAATTTTTTCAGTGATTGTGTTCTTTAAATCAAACTAAAGTCATAAATGATTAAAAATTGGTTGTGTTTTGTTTAATTTGTATGGAAATACCAATAACATACCAATAACCAATAAGTTATCACCATAGTACTCCATTTAAGTCAATGTAAACAAAACCATTATTTCTTTTGCTTTTTCCTTTGTTTATTTTTTCTTGATCTCACTTTTATTACAAGAGTCATTTACACCCACTTATTTATTTGTCAATGTTTGATGACGTAATATATTCGTTTCATATAAGATGATCATTATCCTTTTGTAAATAATACATAGATGTATGTATATAATTCAACAGTGAATTTATACTAATCTCAAGTGACATGTTAAGAATGAACTGGACTTAAGTATGATATGAATATCGTTTTAGATGTTTAAAACGTATATACATACAAGTGCCTTGTTAACAATAAAAAGAAGAAAAAAAAGCAAATGTTATTTATTCCATCTAACTACTAATAAGTAAAATGTACACTTACAAAAAAAAATTTTATGTTAATGTTTCATTGTTTCGCTAGCAAAGTTGATAAAATAAGAAATTTTTATCGGTTTTATTGAGTATTATGGTTAATGCAATAACAATTCATTTTGTATTGTACTGATATCTGGTTAAATACAATGATGACTTATTTGCTTGATCAAATTTGACTATTCAAAAAGATAAGTTGCATGAGATTGTTCAATGGTTTGATTACTTTTGATCTATAATGATTTTGATCAACAAGTAAATTCAGTTAAAGAATAATTAAAAACTCAGAAACAATGATAAATAGAAGATTTGTGATAGTTTTGGACAATTATCGACAGACTTTAATCATTACATCATAAAAGATGGAACTCCAAAACATAAGGGCATAAGATAAATGTGTTACATTTAAAATCAAGGATCCATTGGTTCACATTTAAATCAATATACGGCACATCATGACGATCATTTCCTAACATCGCGGATATCAGTTTCACCACCAATATAGTTGAATTCTATCCTTCTAAACTTCCCAATGAAATTCATAAACAAGGTCACCAGTGACTACATGTTTCTACGAATCTAAATTTGAACATAATGTACAAACCAAAAAATATTTAAATATGTTTCCTCCTTGAATAATTGTACAACCATTTTAAGATATAAATGAGGAATTTTGGACTAGCCAAAGTTATTTATAAATCAAAAATGGATCATATACAAGTAATAATCAATAGAAAGCATCACGGATATGACCAGGGTGGTAATACTAGTAGTTAGAATTCAAGTAACGAAGATATTAAGACGGAATAAATGAATATCTCAAAAGACGAAACTACAAAGTTTACAATCAAAAAGTTCTTTAAGTGCTATTAACTTAAAATTAAAACTAATGACTTTCCCCCAGCTTCATTCAAATACATACAAGTTTAACACAAGTTAATGTTCTGAAATGAACAATAACAGATAACGATAAACCTATAGTAGCGTTACTAAAAAAAAGATTTTTTTAATTAACATTGCAGAAATTCACTTATAAACTTATTAGATATTCCTTTTTATTTTAAATACTTCGCACTTACACAAATAAGCTCAAATTACACTGGAAATGTAGCCGCCAAATACCTGGTAGGGTCGAGGTTAAAGAGTTCACTCTGCCTCATGAAATGCACTCAGAAGACATGCATATACAACCACTGCCAGACAAGACTTACTCATTACCTCTCGCGCGCTAGGTTGTTGTTTAAGAAGTCTAATGAATGAATTTGATGCTTCTTTGTACCAATGTTTATGTGTTTAAATAAAAATAAGTAAATCATTCTATTGTAGTCGACGTAGTGAAATTATTAGCACACTTCACGAACGTATCAGAATCTAAATAGATTTTTACGCAGATCGTTAAGAAAACAACGAATTTTCTTATGACTAACACATGAAATATTGATCGAGTTCAATTTATTAGATCCTGTATATCCAGATCTCGAAAATTATGTAGCTCAACACATAACAAATACTATTCTCATTGTTCTCTAACTAGAAGACAAATCGAGTTGGAAGAAAACGTCGTTCTGTTGTATTTGACGAGTCTGATGATCCTACTTCATACGATGGGAATTCAGACGAGAAAACTGATCATCCTCTTGAGAATATGAAGGAGCTAGATCCTGATAAATCAGCCGGAAATCAGCATACGGAAACAGGACACGCAAATAATGTACATGTAACTAGACGTCGTGGAAGACCTGCTCGTCGTGTATATAGTGGTCGTGGTCGTCGTTCAACGAAATTTCTGTCAAAGAAAGTTATTCATTGTGATAAAACTGTTGAACCTAGCTTAGAAGTTGCTTATGCATCTCCCACATCAGTAGATATGTCATCGATCAGTAAATTGTGTGTTACTGTGGATGTTCATTATGATAATGAAGTCTAACAGTTGCTTAGTCCTTTAAATTATCAAAGAACTCAAAGGAAAAACGGAGCGAAATGACGCATAGTGGAGAAAGCGTGTGAGTCAACTCGATGTAATCAAGCGTTAATCGATGTTCTTAGTCGGATAGTTAAACGTTACAGACAAGTGATGAATAGAATGAAAAGTGCACATGTACACTTACATAAAAAGTCAAGATTGGTAAGCGAATAATTGACATGCTAGAAATGTGACTCAAGAATAGTGAAGATTGACTTGTCTGGAAGCTATAAGTTGTGTGGGCTTAATATAGCAACGGACACTACAACATCTTCCTGACTCATGGTGTCCTATTTACTAAAGCCAATTTCTGAATATGACTGGATAAGCATTCAATGTAGATCTGATCGTTAAACGTTATATATTCTTTGGTAATTTTAATTTCGATTATTTCCCTGAAGTACGGACATGTTTGAGGGACCACACTGTTGAACTGAGATTATTTCAAATATACCTTTTAGAAACAGTGTTTCTTGTATACTTGGAGTCTAATTTCTGACAAACAATTCGTTCAGGCGTTAACGAATATTCGCATAAAGTTAAATCAACTCAATAGTATCATCTGTGTAAGGATTCAAACCAATAATGGAAACTTTCAATGAATGATAAATATCCAAGCTTTTTAGGCTCTCATGAAGAAATGATAATTGAAATGGATTATCTTCAGTTAATCTTAATCAAAGATTGAACGAGAGTATTATTATGATCGCTTTTCGAAAATCAATACATCGAATTACTGCAAGAATGTTAATTTTTATGAATATCACTTTTTTTCATTCATCAGTCAGTTATTCATTATCTTGAAAATAGCAACCTAAATATCTTAAATAACAACCAATGCAACAATTAAATCATAAGGATTTGATACATTTACAAATCTACCTGTTATTCTACACAGACAACCGACTTATTTCCATTACATAATTCTACTTTCTAATGAAGCTACTTAACACACAAACAAGGTGACTAATTGGATAATATTTTTGTAAAGAAATGTATGATTTTTTATACCCACCGATACCAACGACAATGGGTTAACGGTTGAATTGTGTTACCCAATATATTTAATAACCCAAATTTTATTGTTTCCATTCTGATAAAAAGTTATTGATTTGTCTAGTCTCGTATGTTTGTGAATGCGAATTGTATGTTTTTTTTTAATGTTCAATACGAAAGGGGCCAACACCGATGATTATCATGTACTGAAAATATGATGTTAAGAAATAGGTTGTTTTTTTTCAAATTATTAAAACCATAACTAATTCTGTTGTAATGATTAAACTGAGTAATCCATAGAGTAAATCACAACAAATATGTAATTTGTTCTTGATAGAACTAATATCTAAAAGATGATAATATTGCCATAGACTTCATAGCGTACAACACCTCTAAAACTCTCTAACTATACCGTTAAACATCGAAAATACTAAGATACATCAGATGTTTAAAAACCTTATTATTAATTTAATATTTGATACACAATTTAGTGGGGAAATTGCAAATGGAGAACAAATTATAACTGATTTTAAAATCTATGCCAACTGATCACATACAACAGTCTAATGATAAGTTTCTATCATTCTTCACAATGAAACTTTCAAGCCTATATAAATGATATACATAATTTATGAACAAGCATTCAGCACTGATATTAGCTTATTATTTAAATTTCATTAAGTTCTTAATTAATTCAATGTGTAAAGCAGAATACAAATAAAGTTGAGGAAAACAAACAAATTTGAAAGCGTACAGTACTAAAATGTTAGTTTTATTATGAAAGCATACATTTTTGAAAATGAATTCAGTAGATATAACAACATCATGCACGTCCATAACAAATATAACTAAGTTATAAGATTTAAAAAAAACACAGATTTTAATGCACAATGTAGTAGCGTGCAATGAACTAATTTGTACAATATAATCATCAATATTCATTGACATTTTAGCATACCAATGATTAAATGCAAATAAACTAAGGATTTCGAGTCCCAGAGTGAACATCAACCCTCGGACGAAGGTACATCTAGCTGATGAGTTCGAAATAGGACGAAACGCGCGTCTTGGATTCCACTGCTAGCCATCATCTATCTCTCCATTTAATGCTTATGACTTAAAACAAACCGCACAGGGTGTACATTATTCCAATAAGAGACTGATCAATTGCAGTCCTAAACGTCAATGGGAAGATCTAAACAAACAATACAAAACGAATTAACGATACATTAAAAAGTTGTTAATTTGCTAAATTTCAGTTTACAATATGTATCTGTTAATATGAATGAGTGTTAAAATCTTCATCTGTCATTTAACATCATTAATTTCAGTAACTAATGATTATGTCTACATCTGAGAAGACAAGAACTAAGTCAAAAGACTGATTCCAATTGTTTTTGGTTACTTAACTATTCTTTAATTAATACTGATTCCTTAGTTAAAAAAGTTTTAACTTTTTATCAATTTACTAAATATGAAATATTAACATAAGAGTAAATTGGTAAGACACACTTTTCTTTGAACAAAAATACGATTTATATTTCTCTAACTTTTCTGATTTCATTTTGTATCATCAACTAAATAAAATTTTGATGCAAACAACCGATCCTAATTAAAATTTCACTGATAAAATATAAACTAGTTGATGACGTGAAATCAATTTACTTCTAAAAAAAAGGCTTTTAGATTATATTGATAATGGTTAGAATTTTTAAGTTACATTCTTCATAGATCGCATAAGCGACACGCTTGAAAATCAGTGATCACTATCCAATATTTGTTATTGATTTTTAATCGTGAAAGATCTCTGTCAGAGGAATTGGTACATGCTACAAGAGATTTACACAACATAACAGTTAGATTGGCAAAAAGTGAACTGACTTAACATTATTTGATTAAAAATCACTTTATGAACGTGAGGTAGCATCATCATAGAGTGAAACGGCTATAAACAGAAGATATAACTAATTGAATACGTCACATAGTTACAACTTCTTAAAATTTAAGTACATGTCATAATTGATGAGAACAAATCAATTTCATAGATCACTTAAATTCTACCCATTATATCAGTCTATTTATTAAGAGATTTAATATTATTAACCAGTAGCGAAAGTATTCAACCTAGAAACAGACAAATATTTTAACAAACCTTTTTAATTTTTTTTTCCATAATTATTACCTTCTATTAATCAACATTTACATCCCAAAGCTAATTTTAATCTACTTTTTTTCTCATATTGTATTACTTTCCAAATAATTAAAAAAACGTCTAGTTTGTAAGCAGCTGTAGAGAACTCTCGAAACGAATAAATTCATTTTAGACCGTTACTTTCTTCCTATTTACTTTAGTCAAAAATATTTCTATTATGATTTTTAAAAACAAAATATTCATCTTAATTTAAGATAACAAACAATTTAGCTGTGAAAAGAATACAATACGTATAGTAGTTAATGTATTTTCATTTACCATATGATTTACTGTGAATGAAAACTTTATTAAAGTAAAACGTTTGTCGTCGATAAGGTATCAGATTTTAATAATCATTATAGATCAGACAACGACTTTTTTTTAATTTCCACGTCACAAGAACGCGTCAACTAGCCAATTTACACTTAAAAGTGACCAGATGTGAAATATTTTTCAGTTGGTTGTTAGAAAACAATAGGGAGCACTCACATCTAACTACATCAACATGTAAGTTTGATAGTTCTGTTTTTTGGTTTATATTTGGCCACACACAAAAAATTGATGCAACTAATTTTTAGTCAAACTGTTGTACATAGTGAATAATTTGTATCTATGGTACATTTATGTAATTTAAAAAAATGAAAACATTAGCGAGTTTCGAAATTTTAATTTGTGCCAATGTAATCATACATCTTTGAATTTAATTGATTTTGCAATAGTTTTGTTAACTTCATTAACACTTACACTTCATCATCATTGGTTTATTCAAAACTTGAGTTGAACATTTCGACTACAATGTAATTGCTAATTACAATTTTAATTTCATTGGATAGTTTATTTTTAACCAATAGTCCAGAGTTAACCAAAATTAAGCAGTTTCCTTCTATACAAATGTAATTGTGTATACTATAACTGTACTGAGTTGTCTCATTATAAATTATAACCTAAAAGGTTTTAAAAAATAATTTTAGCAACAAAGATTATTAACGATTACAATTTGTCGTATTCTTGGTTTATGACAGGTAGATATTACCGAGAGAAAACTGCTATTATATAATTAATTTTACTATCTATTGGGAAATAGCTATTACCTGTAACCATAAAAATGACAACAATCATTATTATTATTATCATGTTTATAATAGTACACAAATTTTCATGACAATTTTTAATTGTCGTATCATTAGGAAGGTGAATGTTTTTCTAGTTTTTACAACAACAAAGATTATTGAATCATTCGGAATTAATCATCCAGAATTAAATACTCCAGCATGAGTTGTATATGTTTATGGCCAATTACTTAAGTTCTTTTTTCGTTCAGTATCATAAGATTACGAAATACTTGTTTAAAGATAACAAAATCTGACTTTTCTAACTGCTTTCTCATTTCAGATATTAGGTTTACTCTACGGTGAAATTGTAAACATATGTTTTCTTCCTATTCACTGGTTTACCAGCTTATGTCAATAACTGACAGAATGAAATCTAAATTTAAATCAAAGAAAACATACAACTGATTGAATTCGAAATTATTTCAATTGGTTACATAACTTCTTTATTTCAGTTGAGACATCTATGTTGTTATTCATATTTATGAACACTGATTTAATAGGCTAATCAGTATCATACTAGGACAAATCAACAATCTGTAGTTCCTTGGTTTTCGAAAATTATCTGGTTTTGGCCAGACAAAATAACCCTAGAACTGAAAAGTCTCCGCATAATCAATACCTCTCACTTAATATTACTTTTATCGAATGAATATGTTATCCTCTAA